CAGGAGGCACCTGTTTGATCCACACAACGCAGGGCGAGTTGCTGCGCCTGTTCGCGCCTCCACAGGCGCCCTCCGACGCGCTGCGTCCCGCCTCCTCCCTACTGGCTCCGCTCTGCCCCGCCCGACTGACCTTCACCCGTGAGGGCTACGTGGTGTTCCAGCTGGGCGCAGACAAACTCGCGGTCTACACAATCAACGGAAAACTGGTCGCTGCGGCCGACTTGCACCGACAGGTACGCGTGAAATTAGATACCTCTCGTCAGGTGCGTGATGCTACGCCAACAGACCACCAAACTAGACTTCGAGGTCTCTTAACTCTTGCTGCCATCAGTTACGCTCTTTTCCTGCTCGAAGGAAGCAGAGCTCGCCGTTGCTTGGTCCACTCTCATAAAATCCCAACCCTTCATGTTTTGCAGAATTATATTGTTGCCTAGGCGTGCATGCTTCTCGCTGCATTCTCTTTTGACGCGTTGCAATCGGATGCGCATTACTCTCTAGGTGCAGGGATTTGAAGTGCGGCCCGCGGAGACGGATTCCTTGGAGAGCTCCTCGTCTCGGCCGCAGTCACCGCCAACAGGTGCCGACTACGTGATCAGCGCCATGGCGCTGTCCGCGTGCGCAAACTTCCTGCTGGTCGGCGGCAACGACGGCCTCGTCTGGATCCTCCGACTCTACAGCCTCCAACCCGTCCACTGTCTGCCTCGGTGCAAGGCCCCTGTCACGTGCCTCGCTCTCAACTACGACCAACGGTGAGCGTGTCTAGCTGCTTTTTTTGAGTGCATCACCCACCTAGCACTAGCCCTTATCCAGACCACCTGGATCGACACCTTTCTCCTTATGGAACCGCACTCTGTTAAGCTAGCAGGGAAAGTCAACGCAACTAGCAGTATTCTCCTCTTCCATGAGAGCATCTGTGTGCAGTTGTCGCATTTAGTTCACTTGGCACGGCCAAATGTTCGACAGCTATTGAGTTAGTGGACTAACTCCATGACGAAGTATGTACCTGCAGATTATTTATTAGTTCGGCCTACACTGCTCCTCTTTTGCTTGATCTGGATAAGTTGATAAGCTTCCGAAATGAAATACAAAAGTAAAAGGTTTAGCCAAAACAGTCGTTACCACGGGCTTTGCTTTAGTGCATCAGGACTTTCGTGGAAGATCAGTGACCATGGCGACAACGCCAGACTTCCGTCTGCACCCACGACCGGTGTGCCCCGTTGAGCGTTTACGTGAAGCCGTTCCGTTTGGTAGACGACGTTGTATTGGGCATCAATGCGTTTGCGAATTGCTCGTGGATATCTGACCACTCGTTGCTCCACGCGTCGACCTAAACGTTGATCATGTAACGCGCCTACCGAGCGAGGACCTAAGTAGGGAGATGACTGTTAGCCCGTCATTCTTAGATAGCCACACCATCATGGTTAGCTACCAGGCACACGATAGAAGAATAGCTGGAAGAACCTGATGTATTCCATACTACCGCATACAAACTCAGAGGGCTAGAGCTTAGGGAGGGTTAGAGTGGGGAAAGGGGTGGCCGCGAGGAGGGTTGGTGTTGCCCTCGGACCCACGGGCGTGCCTTGAGGAAGGCGAGAGTGCGGGAAGGGAGAGGAGGACAAAGAACAGGCCAGACCGGCGTGCGTGGGTCGAATGGCGCGCGTCACAATCCTCGTGTTTAGAACCTCTGGGTTGAACACGAACTGGGACACCTCGAAGTAAAGCTTCTCCACGTAAACTTGAAGGCGTTGATCAATTACACCGCGTGCTAAGGTGTTCAAAAATTTAATATCTATTACCTTGAAAACGGAAAATGAGCGCCCGTATTTGTGGTATGTCGAGTAGTAACCTTGTGGCCATGCGCGCTCGCACACACACGCGCGCGATGCTAGTGAATTTTTACCGCATTCGTTGCATGATACACAGTGCCGCTCCTGCACATTCTCGGCTTTGGCATCTCGTTTATAAGTTGTCCACTTTCTTCAATAGTCACAGAGAAATCGATTGGTTTTATCTAAGACTTAGACCTGAGTCCATTTTGTTGCAACCTTTTCAAAGCCACAACGGAGACGCAGTTGCGGCGGAAACCCGGTCGATCGGCGCTCACAGCTGTGCGTTACCTCCATGCCATTGTGTTTGTCCCTCCATCAAACGCCCTTGTTTGTTTTGCCAGGAACACTGTGTCTGTTTTTTCCTTATCCAATTCACGAATTGAGGTTCTAAGTTCTTGTGAAGGAAACTCGTTATTTGGGGTGCAACCATTTGTCGTCGAGCAACTGATCGAATCCACACGTTATTGTGCGTCACTTACTAGACATTAATCGAACATAATGGGATCAGCTCAAGCTACCGCACACTCCTTGTGTCATAAAAACGATGCTTACTCGATTAAGTCTTAATCTGGGCTGGTTTTACTCTGCACGCACTGTAGATTTCTCAATGTTGGTCTCGCGAACGGTGGACTCGTGGTGTTCAACGTGAACTTCAATCGTTGGATGGCAGAAGTTCGCGAGCACCAACACCAGGCCTCCCCTGCTGCGGAGCAACCAACGTCCGAATTGTGATTCCCCGCAGGCGCACCTGTCCGATGCCCTGTTTTTGTACGCCTTTGTGATGTCTATTCCTTGTTTCTCGGTCTGCATATATCGCGCCCTTTTGTCTTTGCGTACGTATCTTTGCTCTACTTGCCTACTTACTTCCTAACCTCGCCTTTTCTGCTTTGAACGGCATGCTAATTTGCGTGTCCGGTGAAATGCAAAACATTCCAGTAAAGCATCGGACAGTATTTTTTGTCGGTTAGGGATGGGGGATGTGGAATTGCAGCTATGCTGTCACGGTGTTTCCTGGACTGATTGACACATGCACCTGCTAAGGAACAATTCATGGTTTCCACGTCCACGACCTTATTGCAATAGGGTAATCTAGATCGAATACGCCTTCGTAATGCGCTTCATGTCTATTTTCTTGTCTAAACTGTTAAGCACTCTAGCCACACGAACGTCGGGACACGGTGGCTTTTATTGCACATTAACAATATTGCACAAACAAGGATGACTGTGGGGCATTCGTTATTCGTCATTATGGACCGGGGATGTGGCTCCTCCGGGACTCCCACCGTCTTCCTCGTGTCCACTCACGACAAAAGCAACCGAAAAGGGGTTGGGTCCCTGACGCTGTTGAATCAAACCCTGGTCTCCTGGCGGATTCTCGTCTTCTTCCATCCTTTCGTCTTCGTCTAAAATGCAGCTTAGTGGTAGAAAGTGGGAGGCAGCAAATTGAGACCACCTCATTACGTCAATAAGCGAGAGTGAGGTGGTCGCTTAGCTGGCTGTAAGTCGTCGAATCCTAACTTAAACAAGGGATGATTTGTGACGTGTGGGTATAGAAGACCCCCTGATCGACGTTCTAGGAAAGCTTGTTTTAAGACAGGGGTAGAGATTCTTATCCGATGGTTCAAGATGGTGATGTCTTTATTATAAAAGGATCCGCGGTTCGCTTCCACTCTCTGTTTGTCACACAGCGACGTCGTTGGGTGGGAGCAATTGTGTCATGCAGCAATAGGATAATCTAACGATCAAATCGCAACTTATGACCTGTGAGAGCCTAATTATTATTTGCGCTGAGTACATAAACGAAAATCACTCCGAAAGTTGAAGAACATGACGTTTAAGTAGACGTGTTCGTGGCCGCACAGTAAAAGGTGCCTTCCCAGCTTACCGTCACGCTCCTCTTCGTTCTCATCCTCTTCTGCTTCGTCCTCCTCTTCTTCCCCCTCTTCATCATCGTCGTCTTCCTCCAGTTCCCCTCCATCCACTTCGTCCACTTCCCGACTTCCCTCTATTTCGAAGCAATTTGCGTTGCCACTAGCACCTTCCTCTTCACCGAAAATGCCGCTACCGGGCTCTGCCGTGGCGTCCCTAAGGCGCTTCGGGAGCATCACGAAGGTCCCCTCCTTGTACCTACGCATGTCCTAATACACGGAACAGCATTACTTCAATGAGAGGAGGATGTGATCGCGTGTAGATGCGACAATTCAAACCACTCTGCGAACCCATTTTCAGACCACCAGGATTCGGTGTTTTCTGTCTTCACTACTACCAATATCAGCTAGAGTGACTTTGATCGCCGGACGCACTGAACTGCCACCTGGCTAGTGATTGAGCTAAATGGGTCCGAGACAAGCACCCGTAGTGCCTATGATCCAGCAAACAACGAGAATTCAACCATAACATAAAAATGAAATACTTAAAATGGCATATTGACCAGGACTGAGTCTAAATAGCAATAATTTTAGAGGTGGACGTAAAGCATACATGTTCATGCAACGAACCGCCATATTTTCTTTCAATTAACCGAAAACAAGTTATTACTGGGAGCACGCCTAACAAAATCCTAAAGAAAAAGGTTGCCAAAACTACGATGCATAACTACCTCTTCATAGCGCAGCTTGTCGTTCTGCGCCTGTAGCTCGTAGGGGGATTTGTTAGTGCACTCTTCCCAGCGCCTTCCAAGTTCCTTGGCGATTTCACTGACCTTCCATTCGGGATGTTCAGCGCGGATTTTGGGTCGATGCTCGTCACAAAAGAAGAAAAAGGCTGAAAGCGAGCGCTTAGGCATTCCTGGATCTTTAAGACGTCTCCTTTTGGCTCCGCGCATGTGATGCTGAGAATGGGTATGATGCTGCATTTGCTGTGTATTGATTGCATTCTGATGCACTATGTGAGGCTGTTGCTGAACGTACTCTCCCATTTCCCTGTTGTAGCGCTTAATGTCTAGTCTGGACATCTCCTCAAACGGGGCTCGCTTATCTGGAGCCATGTCCTTCGTAAAGCAAGATAGGGTTGTATTAAGTGCAAAATGCGAATGAAGTTAACAAAAACACAAGAATGTGACTTACTCGCCATTTCTCTGCGCACTTTTTGGCGAATTCACTGAAAATGACGTTGTCATTGGGATTAAGTGAGCGATGCTTTTCTCGGATTACCTGAACAAAACAAGCATACCCAGAAAGTGGGCTTTTTGGTCTGTTTTTGTCTTTTAGTTTCATTCCCTAAAAACAGAACAGGCGTGTTAGATTGGAGCTAGAATGAGAGATTAAGGTCTAGTTTTTGGTTCTATTTCCGATACCTTCCACGTTTTGTAATACCCAAACATTCGTAACTTACTGAAAAATCGAGGTCATCATTTAACTTATTTATCACTACAGCGGTACCGTAAAATAACAGCAGCTATCTCATTTTAGGAATACTAATCCGGGTCGAATAAGATGCAGTGTGACATAGAGAAGCTGCCTCATACGTTGAGAGACGCATATTTGCTCCAAAGTACTAAATTATTTAGTATTTGACCGGATGCATGCAATTTGTTGTGCTCCACCGACTTAAAGACAAATCGGTTTGATAATGGAGTAGGCAATCGAAACGGTCAATTATAGATATGTCACCTTAAATTTGCAAAGTTTTAGGTAGATAAACATCAGAATAAAAATCTACTATTGAGGACGACATCACAGTCTACGCATAATATCCACGTCCTCGTTACCAATCAAATAATTAGTCAGTACAGTATTAAGCATTTTAAAGGAACATTTATAGATTCAACGCAAAAATTAGGCAAATGAAGTGTCCACATACAACAAAGTTACAAATTACAGAGGGAGATATTGGGCAACTGACATTCGTATTAGGAACAAAATCTAAAAGGACAGGGCATTAAATCAAACAAAACAGGGTGTGACTAAGATGTATTGTTGCAAAAAAAGACAGCGAAATATCGTAGTACACAAAGAACAACATCTCGGGACCTAGTTTTACAAATACGATATTAAGCATTCTGTAGACTGCCGTTACTTTTAAATTGTCTTTATTTATACATGCAGCCCATTTTATTGAAAGAAAATGTCCTGTTGATTAAATACATTAGTTTATGCCTAATAGTTGCATCAATACAGTGATTTGAAGCAACAAGATCTCAAAGACCTAACAATATGCAGCAACTGGTTGTACCAACCTAAAAAACACTGAAATACATGTGCTAATATATTTGCCAGTCACGAAATGTTGTTAAAGCGGATGCATGCGTTTGGAAGTTTCTATTCATTATTGCTTGGCCTTCTTTTATTTTTACATCGATCAGCACGATACTGCGCGGTTCTGATCTCATGCATAATTTAAAACTTTGGCATTATAACTTGTGTAATTCAGTGAATTTATAAGATTCTATATCGGGTAATTAAATGGCTGTACGTAAATTAACCTTAATGTTATTGCTTGTGTCACTTAATTGCCATTCCTAAAAGGACGATGTTTGGGACTTCTAGTATTGTGGCTAGATGTCCAGCATAAAATGGCTAAATGTGGATGTAAGAATAATCGCATTTTGGAATTAAAAAGAGGTTTGTAACCTCTATTGTCATAATGACCATCTAAGGAATCCCAACAGAGTTGTAGCTTATGTTTTCTATAAGACTCATTTGAATCGAGAACAAAATATTTTTGTTAAAGGCACTCATAAGGATCGGTTGATTTTTCACTATATTAGGCTTGGACTTAATAGTAAGAGGAGACTAAGTAATATCACACATATTTTGCTTCCGTACTGGCATTCAAATGCATGAGACTATAAAGACGGTAGACTTCCAAAAAAGGTTTATTCAGGACACGGATCCAGGATGCGAGTATGAAAAGTTGTTGCTAAAAAGACGTCAGGATTCCCGATCGTTGAGATATTTGAATACACAAAGTAGTAAGTAGGTCTGCATATGTAAAATATGGAAAAGGACTACCAGGAGTGTGGCGTATTTCATAGCATGGAAATTGGTGTGCGTGACATCTGGCCATCTCAAGTTTCTCGAGTATCTTTGTAGCATCATTTGGCTCCGACGTAATTCTAACGACTTCGACAAAAAACAAGGTATATTTTAATTTACTGATCCTTAATTGTTCAAGGCCAAGATTTTCATTTTTAACGATTCTCCAGGCACAATTCTAAAGAACGCAAGTAAAATGTTTGATGAAGGTTCTGAGATAGAGTGTATGACAGATTCAAATAATCAGATCTCAAGATTATTTGGCCAATTTTTTAGTTGATCTAAAACAATCCGTTGCTTGCAATGACTTGTATCAGCATTCTTTTTCTTCTAAAAGCATTTTTAGTCAAATGCAGCAAGTAAATTCGAATAGTTATGCATTTTATGTAAAACCCAGATTAAACAGCCCCATAGAATCCTGCCCGTTTTACAATACTTGAGATCACGAAACAAATATCTAGTATCAAACTAATATGCACATATGTGGCCAGTTGAAAATAAATGATTCCTTTGAAACATATTTAAATCGAAGGAATGCGTAAAACTGTTTCTTGATAGTACCAAAAAATTTTTTTAAATATGATATTTTTGGAAGAGAATTCACTGGATTTTTCGTAGAGTGAGAAAATGGTTGCATTCATCATGCAGTTGCTGTCATTCGTTAAATTTCAGACTTTTAATATTTGATCTTAAGTGATTTGTTAAATCTCAGTTTTTATACTAACACTTTCTCCTTACAGCGTTAAATTCAATTTTGATTTTACCATGAGTAATCGTCTTGCAAGATCACTTAAAACCACATGAAGCCTACGAGTAATTTAGTCTTGTAAGCAAACGGCTCCTGCTTGGAGCTTGAATTTTCCAATTGCTTTCTGCCTTTGGCAACTGAAGTTCTGAAAGTGAGCATAGAATATCATTGTACAATTCAGAAGACAAGTATGTGCCTATTATTTGTCATATGCTTTACCTATTTAGACTGATTATTCTTCATACTTTTTCGAAAAGGGTGTTTTTTATTACAAAAATCACTTCGAGAAATTGTTTTCACATATGCGCAAGCAGATAAAATTCTTTAAATAAAGTTCCTGTCTATCAATCATAGATGTAAATTCTCTCAGTGGGTTAGATTTAAAAAAAACATGAGTGCTGAGAAAAAAATACCAAACATGTACCAAATATTAGACTGCTATTCATGCATGCATCTAAAGCGCGCCATACGACCGGCATATTCTTTGTCTCTAATCGCTCCTCTATCATCCCACGTTCTGTTAGGCACGTCCTCAAAACTTATTTCAATCCTCATCCTCCAACAACGTTGTGCATGCTGCCCCACTTATGTTCATCTGCATTTCTAATCTGTAGTGCATAGAATATCAGGTTTCTTGTACCGGTCTCCAGTCGCAGGCCCGTTCATTAACTATGACTATATGGCATTCGCAGGGTGAATGACTACTAGTAAGCAACCCACTTGGGACTCCATTTAGTAAGCACACTAAATTTACATGTCTCCGCTAGCAGAGGTTTATTCGTTGTAGACTCATAGATGAAGATATTGACTCCTGTTTTCTTCTCTCTCAAATGAAAAAAATCTGAATAAATAGTGTAAATTAATTTTAAGCGTTTGTTTAGCAAATTTTAAAAATAAATTTGAGCTGAAAAAAAGATCTAACAACATATTTAGTTGTAAAATAACCATTAAATTTATAACCTGTTTTTGTTTTAATGGTTATAACAACCACATCTCAGCCATTTTAGCACCATAACAACCGCAGATGATTTTGGCAGTAATAATATAAACATGTAATTTCTACGTAGTTCATCTGGTTACATTAAAAATTTGCCTTGTTTACGTATATTAATTTGTGTTGAGTTGATTTGTATTTATGATTTTCCCTGTTCATCTTAATTTATTAAATTTTATAATTTTACCACCTATGTTTGTTATTCCCTGCGGCCAACCGTATGAGTTCTATCGTGTGGTGGTTGCTGCTTTGATTTCCGGACTGCTACTCGTTTTTCGAGTGCTGTCATCTGCATCTAAATCTGTTTTGGACCCACTTTCATGTCGCACAAGGTAGATTTAGTCGATAGAAGACGTGCCTTTCCTGAATATTCCGAGGATTCGGGATTGAAGCACCGCAGGTTTGTCCACGCGCATGGCCTCATGTTATGTGGCAATTTTTCAAAATGATGAATGTTGCATTTCTGTCCTGCTGTCCCTTACTCGTTTTTTATTTTTCAAAGTGTTTCAATATAATTTTAAAGGTGGCTTCTCATTTTTAGGGGCGTCGGCTCTGACGTATCCGGGAAATCGGGCCAGGTTGAGAACGAAAAGCGCGTAAGACGTGAAATCGCGAATTGCAACGAACGGCGCCGTATGCAGAGTATCAATGCCGGATTTGATAATCTTCGTGTGCTATTGCCCCCTGCGCAAGATGGTGAAAAATTGAGCAAGGTAATGTGCTTTTATCTTTGACCTTTTCAGGCAACTATTTTGCAACAAACCGCGAAGTTTATAAACACCCTTCTGATGAAAGTGAGTGCCCTTGAGCATGAAGTAGCTGTTTACCGTCGAACGTCTGGCTTACCTGCACCGACTGTCCTTGCTGACATAACTGAGGAGGTGGCAACTGGTTTTGTTAGGAAGCGTCGGTCTGAGGATCGTGGTAAGTAAATCCATTTAGTTGACTTGATTTTTTAAGGAAAACCGTTTGAACCCTTGAAAATGCCTAAACCTGGTCCTGATACCGACGCTGCGCTTCTTGATCTCGATGATGGGAACACTTCGGGCCGCTCGTCCGAATGCTACGATGGAAACTTTGGATTTTCGCCTTCGTCGAATGCCCGCCTGCCATCTGCTTCACCAGCCGAGAGTACTGCGAACACTGCTGCTCGTTTGGAGCATCTTGTAATGGCTATCGAACAGATTGAGGGTGCTCCTGCTAACACTCCTCCACAGCTGATGGAAAAGCAGGCCCCTGTTAATGAACCACTCACTTATGTTCCACAGGAACCAACTATCTACTATAAGTTTCCGGACTCCGTTCCGGAGTTGAGACCTTTTACGTATGGTATAAATTCAACAGATCCAGGTGTTACCAAGCAGAATATGAACTCGTTTACGGAAGAATTCGTATTGAACTCGACACCACCTGCTCTCCAGCCGACCCTTGTCCCTGTATGCGAGGATAAAAACGCAAAAGAGATTACCGTGGATGATTACCACCCCGTAGCCAAGCTGCTGAATCGTCCGATTCCCCACAAATATCTTCATCGGCCCCAAGTTGTGGTGAACAACTCTCATTAACTTGCAACCTAGATGCTTCTTTATTTTGAGCAGCTTTCACCAGTTGGTTCTACCTTTGACCTTTGGGCTGTCAGCTGCGGTGTACATAACTTGTTCAATATACTGTCTTATCGTTTTTTCTTTCCTATGAGCACATCGTTTTATACTATTTTACGACATCGTTAAGTCGTGGTCTGCTGTAGGTTGACGGACTTCTTCCTGTTCTCCAACGTTTCATTTGTACATTGTCCACTAAGGCCTCTGCTGGCGCCAAATTCCTCCCGTCTTAGTATTGGTGGTGTGGACTTAAGCTCTTGTTTTTTTTTCTACCGAACTCTCGACCTCGGTCCAGATAACTTTCTTGTAATGTGCTTGACTGTTCATTTGCTGGATTAAAAAAATCTTGATTGTATTTTTTTTTCTTCTTTGAACCACTCTTCATTCGGGCTTTTAGGCGCCGGTGTTGGCAGTTGGTTGGTTGCAATCTGATTGGCCGTTAGGCGGTTACCATGGGGCCATAATGTGACTTTATTGCCGCAGCCTCTGTGGGCATGCTGGGCTAACGTCAGTGATATCTAGTAACTCCCACCCACCTATTTTGCCGTAAACAGCCAACTGTGCTAGAATTGCTGTTTTTGCTTAGACAATCGGTGGCCACGGGTAGGAGTTCTGCAGCACCTCGTTTATCGTTATTATATAGGTTTTGGTCTTGACGAATTGGGTGTTTGCATGGCGACTTACTGCTGGGGTCTGGATGTGTGCTCGCTTTTGACAGAAGCAGCGCTTAGGCGCGTCATGATGTCTATTCCCAGTCTCAACTGGACTAGTTTTGTAATGAAGCATACGATAACGTAGCTGCGGTTGGACTACTTGGTAAATGTGTGCAAATTACGTGTCATTCGCTGGCTGGGACATTATGTACGTGTTCAATTTGTAAGAAATTGGAGTATTGAGGCACTCAGCCTGGATAAATCTTGTTTGTAGTAATTTTTGTAAGCCTGGGAGCGCATAATCACGTGGGCACATTCGGTGGGTCTGCTTTGAAAAGCTGCATTCCACTAGTCACCTCCGATCACTTCAAAAGTGACTCCTATGTGAAAATCTTATTATCTCAATGTAAATAAATGCGAACTCTTCAATACCCATGGGTTTTATTAGCAACATCAACCGACATTAGTGGGAATTCGCTTTTTTTTCCGTAAAATCAAGAATAAAGTGACGGCAATTACCTTTGCTGAGATCTGAAAGTCTGTCGCTAAACTTCACATATCATCTCAAGAATTTCCTACCAAAGTTTCTTCCTTAAAATGATTTTATGAAGGATTTCCTGGTTTAACTTTACTTCCACCAACTTTTCAGCCGGTAGTCAAGTGTGACACTAAGCACAGCAAGTTGCATTAAAGCCTGGACAAGCGATTTCCTTCAACTTGGTTGGAAGGGTCTTCGGTATCTCCTTGGAGGGCAAGAAGGGTGTGTGCTCTCGAGGAAGGCTTTTGGGATAATCCTGGTGTAATTGTGGAAAAAAAAGCTAGTTTGGATTGAATGAGCGAAGAATTGAGTCTAGAGTTGCCGAATTTTATGAGAAATCCCTACCTAATTCAATTAATTCTCGCGTGCTTATAACGCCCTTGTCTTTTTAACATAAAGTCCATCTCTCTTAACAAGTGGCCGGTGTCTTGGGCTTTTTAATTGGTGCTTTTGCTGTCATTTTCGAAATGTTGCTTCCTGAATGGGAAGTATTGGAGAAGACTAAATCGGCAAGATCACTGAATATTTCGTAGTGGTCAGCGAAACACGGCTCCTGATTAACGTTGGTTGAGCAGTCGACCATAATTTAGACGTTTTATCAGCTAATTTACTCCATGCAAAAGACAAATTTCAGAGTTTCCTGCTACACGTGATCGCCGATCACGACGCCACCTCACAATCATGTAAATGCCAGCAGATGTCAAAAGTGCTGCAATTTAGTTCCTCTGAGGTGAATGACACCCAACTCATTACAACGTGGAGGGGCGTTTCGTAAA